CCTTCCAAGGAGTGGCTGGTGGGTTTGAACCGCCAGCCTTCTGGTTGGCAGTCAGATGCCTTAGGCACTATGCTACCAGAGCTCCTCCTCCTGGTATAGATACTGTTAAGGAGCTCTGGTGGCACAATGCCTAAGGCATCTGACTGCTAACCAGAAGGTTGGTGGTTTAAACCCACCAGCCACTCTGCAGAAGGAAGACAGGGCAATCTACTTCCATAAAGAATGATCGCCTCAGAAACTGAACAGGCATTGCTAGGAGTTGGAATCGACTCGATGGCAGGGAGTTCGGTTTGGTTTATAGACGCTGTTGCAACTCCTACTAAAAGTGAAAAAGATGTGACTCTAATTTACAGCTTTAGCCTCTCAAATGACTGTCACTTATAATCTGTCATTTATTATCTTCATTCTTTACTGTCTGTGAAGCATGTAACTGTCCAGTCTAGCCTGGCAGTTTTTGTTTGCTTGGTTTTTCACTCTTTCTACAAGGTACTAGAATATGTAAGGTAGCTTTATCATAAAGGCCTCTGACTAGGTAGAAAACATGCTATACTGTTCTCTAAAGGTAAAGTTAACAAGGAAAACAGACATGGAGGGGCTTTATATTTGTACTGAGCCATAGATACAAATCCCCTTTACATCAAGCCCTATGGGATTCATTAATAAAGCTTAAAAAGGAGACTTTGATTTTATTTATAGCTTTATCTTAAAAAAAAAAAAAAACCCAAGAGACCATATTTGTCTATTTACTGTGTAATGAAAATTCAATTTGTAAAATTAAAATACATTTTAAAAAAATCACATTTCTAGTCTGTAAGACCTAATGATATATAACAGAAACTGATACCTAGCATATGTTACAAAGTAACAAATACACTGTATTCTGAACTCCAGAAGGAGAAAGAAAGTGGCATCAATAACATCCTCACTAAATTCTCAGGCATGTTCTGTTAAAAGTTTGGGCTGTCAGTCTGGGACTTTATTGAGAACTTACAGACAAAGGTATAAAGAACTTGGCTTCCAATCTCCTGGTCTGTGGACTAGGCTCTGGAGGCTTGAATTCTAGCCATTCAAAAATTCCTTCCGTACACAATGCTGAGAGGCAGGCATTCTACTAGTCCAAGTCCTCACTCAACAACCCAATCCACAGCCAACCTGTTTTCCAAGGTCCGTTCCCTTCATCAAGCTTCTCTGAGCCCCTCAGGGGCGACTCTTCATTTCTCAATCACCCTCCTGGATGATAATGAGCACATTGTCTTCATACCCGTTGTCATCAGTTCCCAGCATGTCACCCAGCATTCAGCAGAATGCCTCTCCATTCTTACATGCATGGAGTAAGCTATGCTTGGAGCCTTGATCACTTACTACATCTTTAACCACAGTGAGCTTACATACCTATTTAAGAATACAGGTATGCCCTGTGCCAGAGGGATCAGCTAGCAAGTACATGGCTCCACTGCTGCAGGAAAGGAGCACATGCTGAACTGCCTTACACAGAAAGCACCTTATCAGATCCTTCATTGTTAATGTATATGCACAAAGAGGTCCACTTCTTAACCTGTGCATAGCTGGCTATTAAAGTGCCGCCACCAGAAGCATTCTGAGCAACACTGGTATTTATAAATCTACCGCACCTTAAACTAGAGAGGTTCTTTTGTTCTGGTTACCTACTGCCGTTCTGACAAGAATATACCACAAATGGAATGGCTTGAACAAACAGGAGTTTATTCTTTTACAGTTTGGAGGCTTTAAGTTCAAGTTTAAAGTGCCAGGCTCTAGGGGCTGGGTGAAAGCCCCTCAACTGAGGCCTTCAGCTCTACCTTCTGCTCCTGGCCCACTGAAACTAGAGGCATCCCTTCACTCAGGCAGCTACTGGCTTCTGAAGCTAACAACCCCAAGGTCGACAAATAAAATGACACAGTTCCGATGTTATCAAACAACACGGCAGGCCATTGATTCAAGTCCACTGAAAGTCCCAAGATAGGCAGAGCATGGCAGGCTGCTGAACAACGACTTGGCTATATGCAGGGCTCAAGCATGCCATAAGCTAGAGACCATTCCCAAAGGTGTTTTTTATATACGGGAAGCAGATCACATACCCAAAGCAGCTACTCAGCTGCTCCAACAGATTCCACCATGGAGTTAATAACCAATCTCACCATGTGGAACAACTACATTCAGCTGCCCAGCCACCCAACCAGGCCCAGCCAATTTGACACACAAACTTAACACCTTTAAAGACCTTTCAGTACAGTATAGTGTTTTTCAACCCTGGGTGCACAATACAGTCACCCAAAGAAATTTCAAACATTAGTAATGCAAAGCTTGGCCTCACCCTCAGAGAGTCATTTAACTGGTCAGGGGGTGGAGCCTGCACATTAAAAACTCACTAAGCACAGGATGGGTTAAAAGTGCTGACTGACTTCCAGTTCCACCGCATTGCCTAACCTCTCCGAGCCTATTTCCTCATCTGTAAAATGGGAATAACAGTACTTAATTATAGGGTTGTTATAAGGATTAAGCAGTATATTTTATATGTTTTATAAACTACATGAAAGAATGCATGTAAAAAACTTAGCATAGTGTCTGGCACTAAGAATAATAAGGAGCTCAATAAATATCAGGTAGTACCATTATCATCCAGGCCTAATCCCTCATTTTATGGGTGAGCAAACAAAGACCCTAAAGGGTTATGAAACTTGCCCTACATCTCTCATAGCTACCAGTGGCAGGGGCTAGTCTAGCTCAGTTCAAACACTAATTGAGCTCCTCATAATGGCCCAGCACCGTGTCAAGGGTGGAGGATTTAAGGATGGATTAAACTCTAGACTAGAACCTAAACCTTCTGCCCTAATACACTCAGGAAGATGGATTCTAAGATTTTGTTCTGTATGGAACTGGGAAAGAGAAAATTATTCAAACTAATCAACAGATCTTCCAAAAACAAAATAGAAGTGACTAAAGCTCTCTGCTATCATCAGTTCCTCAAATGTCACCTCACTGTTTAGGAAAAATGACAGCTCTTCACTGACATTTGAGAATATTAAAAAGCTCATTCCACCAACCTGCCTATAATTTCTCATGTCTTAGACGATGGAATGGGAGCAGAGGCAAAGCCATGGTTACCTTGACATTACAAATCAGGAAAGGAGGGTGTGAAAGTTCCTGCATGGATAATTTTGCCAAGGGGTGCCAAATTTCTACCCTGAGAATTAAAGAGGCATTATCAATCTAATCATTTCCCACATGGGTAGACAGAGCTCATGAAAGAACATTATCCTGGAGATACGCAAGTGGTGTTCTCAATGGGATTTCTGCCTTGAAGAACTTCTAAGATTTTACCCAAACTAAACCAGCTAGGCTATCCCCAATTCCAGGATTGCAAAGCTACTGTTTTAAGTACTGGAGTTATTAGAGGGGCATTTACTCTACTCACCTGGCATCAACAGGTCCATTCAAGACCTTTCAAGGCCATCAGCACTAAAGGACTGTGGGATTCCACATCCAAAGTACATTCAAAATTAGAACAGTAGTAATCTATAAGTACATATATAAAGGCCAACAATGTTCTTTTTTTCTTATGATTCCACTAATGAAATTTTCAAATGACAAAATATCAAATCCTACCTCTCCAACTACTAACAAGCTAAATGTTATTTTTTTAGGTTTCCCTGCTTTGCTAGTCCTTTTCTGGTAACCCAATACTGCCTGTCTTACCTCTTTGCTTAATCCATCAAGCAGGAGCCACTTTCTCCTGTAAGCGACACATAAGCCCATTTATGTCCATAAGTGACATGGTGTAACATAGCCAAAACCCAGACCATGGCCAGTGTGTAGAAAGCGAGAGTGCTCTATGCTACCAAAATGCAAGTGATGACAAACAGCCGCCACTTAAGTAGCTACTCTATCCCAGGTAGATTTTCCCAACATTTTACATATTTCCGTTCTAATGCTTGCAATGTCGGTTTTATCAATCATGTTGGCTGAACCAACATTCCGAACCGGGCATGTGATTCCACCGTGAGTCCTAATAGCTCAGCTGGTGCATACAACACAACACACCAAGCAGCCAATCAAAATGAGATGAAATTAGGTTGTCCCAGCAGGAAATTTGTTAAGAACTGATGAAAAACTCATGAAAACATTTCCATAGCCTTGAGAGCTTACTGGCAGCTTTGGACCTGGCAGGGCTCCTTCCAGCTCCTGAACTCATCGTGCTTCCCAACTGTGGTGAGGTCGGGTTCATCGTTGGCATCAAAGTCATCCTGTAAGGGCCCATCAGGGAAGTCCTCACAGTCACTCTCCTCCACCTCGGCATTGATGTCAAATACCTGGTCATTCTTCTTAAACTTGTCTACCAGGGCTGACAGAGACTGAAGGAGACAAAAAGAAGGTTCTCAGGAGTTCTCCTCATTTCCATAACCACCCCAGTTCACCATTAGAGGAATAGCCTCCTTACAACACCCTTCCCCGGCCCTGCCCTCTCCCAGGGCCAGTATTCTCATGATAGTTAACAATGCGGAAGTTTATATTGTGTAGCACAGGATGAAGCTGTATTGTTGGCAGGCACATTTTGTAAAACATGAAACAGAATCTAAATCCATTAACTACATGTTTAGAGAAAACAATTTTCCATAGTGACCATTTATTTTCCAAGTTGTAGTTAAGTAGGCCAAAGGGGGCAATGCTAAAAATACACAGAGGAAAGCTTGACACAGGACAATTTCTCAAGAAACACTGTGCCAAGGGACTTAACCCCAAAGAGCAGGAAAGTCCTCGAGCTTGACGGCAACCTAAGTGACCAGAGACCATTGGAATAACCGTGTTCGAAAGTAAATCTAGAAAAAATGATCACTCATGCATGGCAGCGCTGTCTTACCCTAGGGAAGCTGAGAAGAGGGGACAGGAAATTGATCTCAGAACTCACTTATATACCAGTTCTGCTGCAGTTCACAACCCCTACAGAAGTGCCAAAGGAAATATTTCCTGTACTCCTGACTAAATAAAAATGATGCCACAGAGTTTTGGTTCTCATTGGGCAGAAGTAATCTTGGTCCATCTAACCGGAACCACAAGCCACTGGAGAAATGCCCAGTGCCCTTATAAGTCCAAAAGTTGACCACACCTCATTATGTGTTTCACTGTCCCACTTAGTAAACTGGAACCCGGCCAGGGAAGGGCAGATCTGGCGATCTTCTATACACTGCTGCAAGGGGGCTGGAGATGACAGGAAGATCATAAAGAGGGATTAAAGGTGAATCAAGTACATTCCTCGTTCCTTTCAAGATGACACTGAGCAGCACAATGGAGCTGAGAGACATACAGTCACTTCATTATTCTCTGGCAGAGAGACTTAAATACCAACCTTGACTGAGTAGATGGCTGCAAGCCAACCTCTGTCTCTCTAATTACTCTCCTGGGAATGTCCAGGTGCACAGGCATGCACCCACACTGGAGTTAAATTACACATTATCATTGCAAGGATTAGTAAAATACTAGAGTAGAAACCCTGAAGCACACATATTTTGTCCTGAAATATACTGTGTACACTATGCTATAGTCAGGAAATCAAAAACTCTTCCTTAAAGTACACTAAGTACATAACATCAATCATGTAATGCCTCCTATTTTTAGTCTCAAACTAAACCTGCTAAAGTCCTAATCCTCTGAGGAGAGAAGCAGTGAACATAGGAAATGGTGTTGCTGACTGACTGAGTCTAGAGGGCCCTGGGGGAAAATATCATTTGTTGGGGAGGAGTGGACATGGGGTGGGAGCGGAATGCATAGCACTACATAGGGTCTAGAGTCTGGGGAATGTAGGCTCCTGGGGGTCTTGGGTCTTTTTTGTGTGATTAATAAATAATCTAGATAAAGGGCAATAATGAGAATTGTCCTAGTGGTCTCACAGCAGATGAGAGTGGGCTCAGAGTACAGGGGGCTATAGGGATTATCTAGTCCTCAGAGGACTAGAGGCCCAGTTTAGAGCATATAAACTCCAAAAATAGATTGTTAGCACAAACTAGTTAAACTTAGTGAAGATTAGACAAGAACAGGAAGGATGGGAATGGCACTTTAACATTTGTGTAGCTCTAGAGGATCAATTTCACGCAACACATAAAAATAAGTCCACTCACTTATGCCTCCTCACAACATCCTTAGATTACCCCCAGAGTTGGGGGGTAGAGGGCTAGAATAGGAAGGGATGTTAAAATCCTTGGCAGGCCAGTATCAAGGGGCCAATGACAGGACAATGGCCACAGAATACTCTGAAAACAATCCACAATGCCTGCTTTTCCTCAGGAATCCCTGCATTGGTAATAAATAGGAAAACGGCATGTCTGGCTAGACAAATCTAAACTCTGACCTTAGCTCAGGGCCTCAGTACATAAATCTAAGAACTTTAACGGTGGACAGCTGAGCTATGTGGCACACAGAGAACAAGAGCAGTGGTGAGCATTAGCTACTACTGTTTTGGATTCTATGTTGCAGAGAGGAAAACAAGTACTAACTTTGTGCTAGGCACTCCCAGGGAGACCCTGTCTGGCACCTTCTGGGTAATTTAAATAAGCAACATAAGAGCATAATGGGCTGATTACATACCATGGTCCCATGAAAACATCTCTGATGACTGAAATGCTCTGGTGAAAGGCATTATCTGCACTTACCTTTTAAGTCTGTCATTTCCACCCAACCTAAATCGGGCAACTCAAGAGGTTCTCCAGTAGAGAGAGTCTGCATGTCAGAAGGAAAAAGCAGCTCACTTCTATAGTCATGGCAGTGGAGAGTAGAGAGAAAGACCCCTGCTGTGCTACACTCATCGAATGAGGCTGCAGTCTTCTGAAACATGGGATCAATCTGAATACAAAAACAAAGAAAGGAAACCAAAGAGTTACGGTACACAGCAAAAGGAAATATAAGATCTCATTCTTTAGGCCTCTATTCATTCACACCTGTATATACTGGACTGAAATGTCTCTGTACATGATTAAGAAAAGGAGAAGCACCTTCTAATTGATCAGGAAAAATCCCATTCCAACAGGTATCATTTCAAAAGAAAGGCTGTATGTGATCACATTAATAAATGCATAATGCTGAAATAGATAGTAAATGGTAACAAATGCAGACTGTATGATATAGGTTGAACTGTGTTGTAAACCCTAACCCCTACAGTAGTTACAAAGGAGCTCGGGTGGCACAGTTCGTAAGGCATTTGGCTGCTAACTAGGTCAGTGGTTCAAACCTACCAGCTGCTCCATAGGAGGAAGATGGGGCAATCTACTTCTGTAAAGATTTACAGCCTTAAAAACTCAATGGGGGTCACTATGACTAGGAATTGACTCTATGGCAGTAGGCTTGGTTTCTTTCTTTTTTTTTTTTTTTAAAATATAGTGGTTATAATGCCATTTGGGAATGGGTTTTGTTATGTTAATGAGGCAGTATCAGTGTAGGGTTGTGTCTTAAGTCAATCTCTTTTCAGACCTAAAAGAACAGAGATGAAGGAAGACAGATGTTATGTCACATGAAGATTACCAAGGACTCAACATACAGAAAATGAAAAGAGGCAAGGACCTTCTTCTACTGCGTGTAGAGAGAAAGCCTTCCCGTAAAGTTGGCACCCTGAATTCGGACTTTTAGCCATCTAAACGGTGAGAAAATAAATTTGTTTGTTAAAGCCACCTACTTGTGGTATTTCTTATAGCAGCACTAGATAACTAAGATACTGTCAATTGGTTTGTTTATATCTGAAACAGTAGGCTTCTGCTCCTCTCTTTCTACAAGTTATGTTGTTAAATAGTTACCATGTTGTCAGAAGGGAGCATTCCCTAGAGAAAGATATCATGCTTAGTAAAGTGGAGGGTTGGTGAAAAAGGGGAAGGCCCTCAATGAGATGGAATGACACAGTGGCTGCAACGATGGGCTCAGGTATAGCAAGGATTATGAGGCTTGCACAAGACCAGGCAGTGTTTCTATTGTACACAGGGTTGTTAGAGCTGGAGCCAACTGGACAGCACCTAACAACAATCTTTAAGATACTCAATGCAGTAGAATGAATAGGTAAACGTGTGGTGGAGGGTCCCTAATAATGTTGTTTAAGCTTAGATCTGCCTACCCTGGTTGCCACTCCACCATTTTGAGCAAGCCTCGCAAGATCCCTCACTTCCTTGCCCCCTATACTGAGCCTCACCACTCTCATCTTCTAGGATACCACTAGGACAATTCTCATTATTGCCCTTTATCTAGTTTGTTTATTAATCACACAACACCCGAGATCCCCAGGAGTCTACATTCCCCAGACTCTAGACCCTGGGCAGTGCTGTGCAGCTCTCCTCCCACTCCATTTCCCACTCCTCCCCAACTAATGGTATTTCCCCCAGGGCCAGCTAGACTGTCAGTCAGCAGCAGCATTTGCTATATTTCCTGCTTCTCTCCCGAAGGTTTCTCTATCTTCTTGCTTGAGCTCATGCATTCTCAATGGGGGCGATATTGGTGAAAGGAGGTGAAAACTAGTTCTTGCAGGGAGTAAAAAAGTCTTAAGATATTACAATGATCTGTAGCTGTCCAAACCTCACTGCTACTCAATAAAATCTTATTCCTTAGAATTAATTTCAAGGAACAAAATGTCTAGAGGCTCCTTCTAAAAACCCACTGTTGTCAAGTTAATTCTGACTCATAGTGGCCCTATAGGACATAGTAGAACTGCCCCATAGGGCTTCCAAGCAGATTGCCACACCTGTCTCCTGTGGAGTGGCCAGTGGGTTTGAACCTGCTCACCTTTCAGTGAGCAGTCGAGCACTTTAACCACTGCACCACCAGGGTTCCTTAGAAGCTCCTCAGGAAGGACAATCATGGAAAAAAAAAAAAAGCTGAGAAGCACTGCTCTAAATCAAACATGGACACTGCTTCCCCTGCAGCCCTCTGCAGTGGTGGCTGTTTTCTCTCCTCAGTCCTTCAGCCACTGAGAGTCAACCCTAAAAGTGAGGTAGATGATTTCCTTGCTCCTTATGTAGCTTCCAGATTATTTTTCTTTTCAATTCCTAAAAACCTTCAGCTTTGAGTATAGCATCAGACTTTACTACCCTCTTCTCATCTGTATTACAATCATCTTCCAATCCCCTGGTCACAATCTTATACCCCTTCTTTGAAGATTGAATATTAGCTCCTAGCTCATTGTTGTTGTTGTTGTTGTTGTTATTGTTATGTGCCATCGAGTCGGACCCGACTCATAGCAACCCCTCCTTAGGTTTCCAAGGCGATATCACTATGGAAGTAGATTGCCCCATCTTCTTTCCAAGGAGTGGCTGGTGGATTTGAACCGCCAACCTTCTGGTTAACAGTCAAGTGCCTTAGGTACTATGCTACCAGAGCTCCTAGCTCATTAGTATTCTTCAGCTTCACTCCTGTCATAATTTGGGAAGATTTTAATATCCATCCAATTCTCTGGCCTCTCATTCACTTGATACCCTCTCCATCAATAGTGTCCATCATACGAAGAACCCTAGATCTCTGAGATCCTAGCAAGACCCACACCTCAGGCCCCTCAGCCTTTCATCCCTTTGCCTGTTCCCTGAACTGTGTCATTAACCATGACTGCAACCTCTCCATAAGCTCAATTCCAAGTGTCCCTTTCTGACAATGACCTCCTAAATTTCCAGCTTATGTCTTCTTGTCCCCAACGCCAAGTCTTTTACTCCCATAAGGACCTACAGTTAACTAACTGTATCACTTTCCTGTGCCTCACTCCTCTTTTCCCAGCTAAAAGTCCATGAGCAATGATTAAAACCACTTCTTTGCACATGGTTTTAACTCAAACATTCCTTTCTAGTTATGTCACATTCACTTAGCTAGACACACTCCTTTGTTAAATCAAACTTTCTGCCTATCTCATGCCTGCACCCATGTAAGTAATCACAGCTGGAGAGAGACAAAGTCACGCTGACTGGTCTCACTTTAAATTCATCTGCCACTACCCTCAAGTGGACCCTAAGTGCTATCTGGCAACCAAGCTCTACTTCCCTAGTCCATTCCTTTGCCCACCTTCCTACAGAACTCTTTCATACCTCTCTCTCCTCAAACCTCCAACAGTTTCCTCCCCCATATTCACTGACAGCCTGGTGACTTGACTTCCTATTTTACCAAGGAGGAAAAAAGACACAAATACAAAAGGACATCCAGAAGCCTTTCACCTGCACACATTCAAACTTAGCCCCTCCCTGTCACTGGTACTCCTTAGGCAACCCCCACCTACACTGTCCATTCCTTTCCCTTCTTAACTGCTCACTCCAGCAACTTTTTTTCTACATCATTAATAATTACTCTTCCACTGTATGAAGAGCTCTGGTGGCACAGTGGTTAAAGCATTTGGCTGCTAATCAAAAAGTATAGATTGTTGCCATTAACAAGTAAACAAACTGTTAACTTTCCCATTAAAAACAAAAGAAAAAAAACACCTCAACCTTACGTCCTTCTCCATTTGCCACCCCATTACTCTACTCTTATTTCTAAGAAAACTCTTCAAAAGAACTGCCTATATGCATGCAGTCTCTTCATTCCTGTCCTCCTACTTGCTCTCTTCCCACTTATTATGAAAATCTCAAGCCTATAAAAATGTTGAAAGAACAGTAACATGAACCTCTGTATAACTTTAAGCTAGATTCACCAACTGTTAACTATTTACATATTTGTTGTCTCTCTAGCTCTCCACAGACAGGCACGCATGTTGACTGACATGGTTGATCATTTCCTCCTCCCTGAAATATTACTTTTTTGCATACCACACACTCCTGGCTTACTTTCTAACCTACTGGATGTTTTTTTGTTTAACTCTATCAGTTCTCAAGATAGGGGTATTCTATGGTTCATTATTTGGGCCTCTTCTCTTTTCCATATATATATATATATTAATTTCTTTGGTGATCATTCCCAGTCTTAGGACTTTAATCACCATTTATGAATGTTGTAGGAGCAAAAGAAAGAAATAAGCTAGTCCACTGTTGGCGGGAGGGTAAATTGGTACAATATTTTTTGAGAGTAACTGAATTTTCATGTTTCAGAATTTCTTACAGACATACTCTCAGAAGAGAATAAAGATACAAAATTATACTGAATCACTGTATAAAAAAAAAACACTGTAGCCACACCTATTTACTTTAAATAAACTATACTAATTACAGATGAGGTTTTCCACACCATTCTTTTAAGCAGATTCCTTAGATCATTTAGAAGGACTCTGGAGTCAGATGACCTAGGTTCAACTCCTCGCTCACTTACCATTTCATCTTGGGCAAGTTACTTAACAGCCCTGCACCTCAGTTACCTCTCCATAAAGATCTCACAAGGATACCATAAGAATTAAATGAGTCAATACAGGTCAAAGGCAGCTCATGGCATCCATGGCATAATAAATGTTGGCTATTATTGCTGCTATTATCTAGTTGCTGTTGTTATTGCTGTTATATGCAGTATCGCTATGGAAAGTAGATTGCCCAACCTTCCTTCTGAGGAGTGGCTGGTGGGTTTGAACTGCCAGCCTTCTGGTTAACAGTCAAGTGCCTTATGCATTACGCTACCAGAGCTCCTATTATCTAATAGGAAATAAAATTAACTTTTTTATCAATCAAGTTTCTCAGTAATTTGCAATCTCTTTAGATTCAATTCTTCTGATAGACTGAGGGAAAAACAGGGACTTACCATCTTCAGTCCTTGCTATAAAGCTACAGAATAATAAAGCAGAGACACTAGGTGAATACTGCACTCCTCTGAGGCTTAAACAAACACATACCCACAAAGCAGGTTTAGTCCTGCCAAGCATCAGACCCTGAGGTTCTGAATTTGTCAGAGACCACACGGTGCACATAATCCTTACCTCACACTTTCTATCTGCTTCGGAGACGTTGAGGTTGTTAATATTTTGCTCAATGGTTTTGTATGAGTGCTTCTTTTTTGGCTTTGGTGGCTTTTTCGTCGTTCCCATTTCAGCAGCACTTCTATCTAAAAGAAGGAATAATATTGTGTAATGTGAGGATTGCTTTGGAGCATATGTAATGGCACTTATTATTATATCAATTCAAATTCTTTAAAACCCTACATTTAGAGTGGTCATAATTTAAACACATACAATACTCGCAAGCAACAGGCATACCTAATCTGTAGTTACGAGAAAATCTCACAGTGAAATCTGTGAGAGCCAGAATCTAATAGATTGCCTTGTTTTTCTGGATCTCGCAAGTTTTCCATCTTTGACAGGGTACAGTCTTACTTCTTTTCTATTGCTTGTTTTAGTGGAAAATATTTAAGTTTTCCTTCTCTGACAGGTTTCTGCATTACACAGGTTCTGGCTTTTCTAAATTATTAATTTGTACTAGATTAAGTATTTGGCTTCTAATGCAAGTCAATTTCCAAAGATCCCCACATCAGAAGCTCTCTAGTTTTAGATTTTAAAAATCAAAGGCTTTTATAAGGACTTTCTCTTTTACCAAGAAAAATAACTCCAGTGCTTGAGTAACTACTCATTCAAGACTATATACAATTCTGAAAATGTCCATGAGGTAACTGATTGCTTGTGACTTCATTCCAGTATATCACTCAAATAACTACTTGCTATGCCCTAAAATAAGTGTATGAAATCCAAACCCCAATCTGCATACCTGCACCACTGCTCTCCACTTCTTCTGGAGCATCCTTGCCCAGTCCCCCAAGGACTCTGTATACATCGGCATGAACAGCATCTACACGCACAGCATAGATCTTGGTGCTGGCATCCAGAGTGCCAGCAGCCACCTAGTCAAACAAGCAGAGATATACAAAAAACTACTTCTGAACAAGCAAAATAAAGCAAGCTGCATAAAATATTTATTTAGTTGCCTTTAAGAAAACATAAAAAATGACAAAAATCCAATTAACATTGGTAGGGAATAAATAGAATATAACACACAGATACCTTCTCTGCATTTCATCAAGTTAGGAAAGAAAGTAAAGTAGCTAAAATGTCTCAAATAAGAAAGGCTTCATGTATTTACAGAATTCAATTACTGTGTTACAATAAATATTAGAATTAATTATCTTTGTTTCTGGAGCAATAGTGGACATCCTTCTTACTTTAAAGTTGGTCGGTTCAGTGTCTTTCTGCTTAAGAATCTCTGACATAAAATCAATCAAGTGCAAGCCAAAAGCATTCTTGGTAGTGATTTTCTGAAAACAGAAAATTGCAGAAAGGTTTGTTATATATAGCCTAGGCTCATATAAATAATGCTGCTCTGAATAGAAAAAGCCAAATTTTCATATAGGAAGTATTATACCTTGCTAATTTGAATCTGAATTCCTAGAAATACCTGACAATATAGCCAAATCCACACATATGTTTCTCCTCATTCTTAAGGTCTGAATAGGGACAGCACAAAATTCCTGAGTGTCCATGGTGTGCAGGGCCTGTTCTAAGCACTGCACATGAAGGGACTCAGTCACCCTCAGAACAGCTCCATGCAGTAGGTTCTACTCTTGTCCTCCTATTACCTGAGGACTCTGAGGCAGAGTGCCTGGGTAACTTGCCAAGGTCATATAGCTTGTAAGTGGAAGAGACAAGATTCCAACTCAGGCAATCTAGCTCTCAAATTCACACCACTTTTACTCCTAAACCATAATGCCTCTCTAGATACACTGCAGACATCAGACAACCTGTCAGGAGGAATATCAAAGTCCATAGGAAACATTAAAAACATTGAAAAACAACAAGAGTCACTGGAGAATAATAGTACACAACTATCAATCATGCATTCTTACAAAATCAAGAAAGCCAGATCCCCTCTGCAATCATATCACAAAATCTTCACTGAAAAGCCAGCAGATACTCACATTTTCAGTGGATAATTTGATACAAGTGGAGTAATGCTCCGTTATCTGTGTGTTTGTAAATTTAGAGATTGTAGCTGAACTGTCAACACTCCTAAATGGAAAACAAACACAGAGAACTTTACCAAAGATTCATGACACTATAATTTTTCAAAACCCAGGCCGGCCCACAGAGGTATTGTGGAAATGCCAGAAAAGATGATATGCAAGTCAAAATGGCCACCCCAAGGGGAGCCAGACCAGAAACACACTTACCTACTGGAGGGAGAAGCTAACAAATGAGGTGAGTCTGTGCCGAACTGCAGGTCAAAGACCTTGGAGCGCCTCCGTTGCATTCGCTCCTTTTCATCGTCATTCTGAGGAAAGTCTTCAAATATCGGGGTGCTTGGAGTATTGAGAGGGGCTTTCCTCGGCAGAGGCATTGAGAACATCCGTTCTGAAGGTGAGGAGGCACCGTGGAGGTGACCATTGGTCTCTGAAGCAGAGTTGCTCACTGTAATCCAGAGCAACAGAAGAAAAACACTTGCTTGAGCAAGCTTCAAAAGAACATTTTCTGTATCTAAAAAGGGGTGTGGAGCCTGTCATTGGAGTCGAGGTTACTACACTTTCCCTGCGAATATCTTTTCCAACTCTAATACTCTATGACTAGAACCTCTAGTTTGAGTTTCTTGGAAGGTGACAGGATTCTGTTCCTTTGCCAATCTGGGACAAAAATCCATTAGGCAGCTATTATGAATCTATGCACTATGCAGGGTATAAAGAGAGATAAGATAAAGTTGCTGCTTCTGGTAAGCTTCATAAACTACATACAGGAAGAACAAACACATATAACCTATAATGCAGGACAAGGGAGAGACAGATGCTGAGATAAGGGTGAGGTACAAGCTAATCCTAGTGCTGCCATATCTTGAAGGAGCTGTGGTGGCATAGTGCCAAAGTCATTTCACCGCCAGCCAGAAGGTTGGTAGTTCAAACCCACCAGCTACTCCATGGAAGGAAGACTGGGCAATCTACTTCCATAAAGATTTACTGCCTCAGAAACCCAAAAGGGGTCACTATGAGTCAGAATCAACTCCATAACAGTGAATTTGGTTTGGTCTGGTCATATCTTGGGGGGAGAGAGAATAAACAAAATAAATTTGTCAAATACATATGTTTCAAAGGATTACCCACAGATCACCTGTTAATTAGAAAGGGAAAACTGTCTTTTACAATGAAAGATCTAGCCATCAAACAAGCAATCAAATGCCACACCACAAAAAATGAAACAACCTGAAACTTATTCATCTTAGTGTGAGGCAATATGAAATTCATACCATCAC